TTTCTATAGCTGTGTAATATTTACCAACGCCAGAGTTGGAAATATCCATAGTTAAATATTCACTGACGCCAGAGTCAGGGATATTATAAGCAAATTATCATAGCACAAACTAATAAATATATAGCAATTTAAGACGAAACTAGCAATGCAGTCTGCCTCAGACAGGACGTTTAAGAGGTGATATTATCTTCCCTTTTACGTAACCAATCCCGAACCATAGAATCTCTGTTGATCAGTTAGGGTTCCTAGTGACCATAATACTAGGTGGCGACTCCTTAAACAAGACCATTCCCCCATCAAAGAATAGGATGCCAGAAATCCATTTTTTTCATGAAATTATATTTTTAAGACCGCCGTGATGTCGGGTGCGACATTTGGTATGAAAATAAGTCGTAGATTCTTATTCGTCCTTTGCTTTAGAACGGAGAGGGAACTCTAGCTAGAGTGGGGCTTCAGCAATATTATTACTGTGGCAATATTAAGAGAAAGTAACTTAACCGGTAAGATTCTAAATTTATTTTTTAAAAATTATTAGTTTAAGTTTTATAACTTTTAAGAATATTTATATAATTATTAATTTTAAAACTCATAAAAATAATTAAAATATACCGAAGTTACTCTGGACAGTATCCATGTTAATAAAAAAAAAACATTGTTATCGTGGCATGGACCAGAGACTTTTAGCGCGGGCTTAAGTATTAAATTGGACGGTGCCCTCTCCAATTACAGTAGAATTAGGGTGCATTTAATAACAAGAATTTTCAACAACCTATAAGTACGACCTCCTCAAAAGCTGTTTACTGGAATGCTCAGGATCTGGGCTTCTTCAAGAAGCTCGTAAGGTGTTCGATGAGAAACATGTATTCATGAAGCATTATGATTTCGCTGTGTGGGCAGAGTTATTGCTACTTAGATGCCATTTGTGGCTTTGGTAGGTTTTCGAAAATGGATTTTGTACCGTATCATTGTAATTGGCCTCCAATGTTGAAGGAGTTTTTTCTGGGAATCTAGTATAGTATAAAAATAATATATAATAACATAATATATAAAATATTTTAAAAAATAACATATTGCAAACAATCATATATATATATATATGTATGTATGTATGTATGTATATATAACTCATAAATTATAAGTATAATCAAAGACTCCTGAAAAAAAAAATCATATGAGTATATTAAAACTTTGATAATAACATTACTAATGTTGTTGAAAAAATCTAGATGAAATAAATTTAATTACACTAAAAATCACTAACAATTATCAAAATTTTAATGTGTTTTCAATAGTTTTTTTCTTTTTATTGAATTTTATATTTAATAATTTTATAATTTAAGAATGTGGCGAATAACATGTGCCACTCGTTAGATGTTATTTGCAACTAAAAATTTTGATTTATTTGCAATACAGTATATTTTATTTTAGATAGAATTATATCTTATGATTATTATCTTTTATTTTGTATGATCAACTTCTTACCCTTCATCTCTAAAAATAGAGTAGTAATAATAAATAACTGACTTCTTTCTTTCTTTTTCCCTCAAAGCTCCACGCATCCATGTCCCTACATGACACACGCAATAAGCCACGTGTCCTCGTTCTGTTATTTTTATATTTTAAATCTGTGTTATTATTATATTTTACGGGATTAATATTGATACTGATTGATTGATGTTCGTTGTCTTGGGATCTAAATTCCCAACGACCACACGGTTTCTATAGCTTGGCCACTTGAACTTTCCACTCTGCTTCGAGGAAATGAATTGATTGTTGTTGAGAAATGATAAACAAGGCCTGCATTGACACGTTAAAGTAAACTTGACCCGCTCTCCATTCTTATCTTTTTATTATATATATTAAATAATTATAAGTGGTGGAGATTTATTTGTTTTTAAAGAAAAATTATAAAGATTTATCCTATATGAGCAAAGAAAAATTATAAAGATTTATCCTATATGAACAATTTATACATACATACATATATATATAAATTATTGTTTTGTAACAATAAACCATGCACTTCATTCATTAAGCTCAAGGTCAACCTCTTTTTTTCCCAATCTGTCACTTCCTCGTCCCTCTCTCATGAAAGATTGTCTCTCCTCTCCGGCTTTCGCAGTCCCTTCTGCTATGGGCATTGATGCCGATGACTTTGTTTTTAATTTTTCTTAGGAATGCGATTGATCATTACATTAGAGGTTTCCGCATCCTTTCGGATATGGCCCGGAATGAAAATCGTTAGTTTTTAAAATCTTGAGAGCCAAGAAAAAATTAAAAAATAAAAAAGCCCCCGGGCTTCACGTGCAAAAGAATGCATCAGAAAAGCCTTTGGCAAAGGAATTGGAACACGATGGAAAGATTGCTTGCAAAATATTTTTTTATTTGTAAATATATTAAAATAATATTTTTATATTTTTTAAAATTTATTTTTAATTCTAAAATATCAAAAACTTCTAAAATTATTTTAAATTAATTAATTTTTTTTTAAAATACTCTTAGAACACAAAAACCAAAAAAAATATCGCCTGCCCGTCCTCGTCGAAAAGAAAGAATTGTCCACGATCTCGCACCAATGTACACGCTCCGGCGAAGTTACAGAGGGCTACTTGTAAATTAGCGACGCGTGTCATTATTCTGATATTGAAAAGTGTGCGCGGCAATAAATGATCAGTGATAATTTTGTAATATAGTTAACGTAAGAGGACACTTTAACCACCTTCTTCTCCCAAGATAAAGTCTTCTTCATCCACCCTGTTTTCTCCACCAACCTCCTCTCTCAAATCCTCAAATCTCATGGCATCCCAGCACCAAGATCTTCTCTCCCGGTCTTCAATCCCTTTTGCCCACCATTTTCTTGTTTAAAGGAGGCTCGTGAGAGGTGTATTGATCAATTACTTAGTAGATATATTTCTTAGGATCCCAAATTATTGGAGTCTGCGGACGAGAAATCAAATTCAATGTTGATCGAACTAGATTACAAGGAAATTATTACATAACAGATAGATATGTGTTCGAAAATTATCACTGACAACATTGATCGTACATGCATGCCTTGCAAGCATAGTTGCAAGATTTTGTCCACTATCTATTATTTTTATTTTAACTAGCATGTTTTTTTATGCAAAAATGATTTTAATTTAACTTAGATTTAACGAGGGCAACGGAGTTATAAATTAATTCATCATGTCAAAAATTATTCAAAATAAAACTTAATCTAAATCAAATTTTGAGCCCCAGATTGTCTTACCTTACTAAGTAAGTTATGTTTAATAATTATGAATGTAAATATGAGTTCAGGTGACAATGTCTTTTGGAGATTTTGTTGGTCTGGTCTGAAATGTTATTGATGGAAGCCGGAGCCAAATATCCGGGAAGAAAATCTTAGAGAGGAGAGAGGACGGGTACGTCGAGGGAAGAGAATGAGCAAAGAGCCTTGACTTGGGAGGAGGAGAGGGCAGTTAAAATGTCCTTATATGTTAACTATATTACAAAAATTGTCTCTGACCTAGCATTTCGAGGTTAAATGATTCAACTATGAAAATGATGACACGTGTCATTAATTTATGGCGAAGACGAAGACGAAGACGAAGAGCCCTATCAGTTCATAAAGTTACCAATAGCCAACAGGTCCCACACCAAACCGTAACCACAGTTTAGTAAACTCAAGCCCCCTAATAATTTTTCGCGTTCCCGGATTGTTTTTGATCAATTCATTATACAATATACTGGAAAAGGAAAATTACCGAGGAAACAGTAATTTTTTAATTTTTTCTGTAGCTAGTATTGTGGCGGTAATGAATTTGTAATTTTTTTATTTTTTTACTGTAATAGTGAAAAGATTATAATTATAATTTTTTTGTGATTTTTTTAATACTTGACATATTTATTTGTGATTTTATATTTAACATATTTGTGACCATTCTTTGTGTTTTTATTTTTATTCTCTTGTAATCTTTTTCTTTAAACTTATATTTTTATAAAAATATTATTGTTTTTTATTATTGAGAATACTTATCACTATGCACTTTCAAACACACGCATAAGCTCTTATTTTTTAATCTATTAATGAAGGGGACAACAATCCACACCCCAAAGCCTAATAGTGTGAGCCTTTATTGTTTTTCTTTATTAATGGGGCATACGACTTTTTTTTAAAATGAGCTAGGCTGTGAACCTAACTTGTCAATTCTAAATTGAGCATGAACTCTTTTTTATATAGTTTTATTTTTTAATTGATAATTTTTTTTATATATATAATTTAAAATAATGTTTTAATCTATAGTAAAATTAAAATTTCTTGTATATGATTAATTTATGATTGCAAGTGGAACAGAAAAGGACAGATATCCAATGAATAATTGCCATGTAGACAATTAATGTCTTTTTTACCACGAAAAACAATAATTACTAATCAGAACAATAATTTAACTGAACTACACACACTAAAATTCTGTTCTTTAAAGTAGCACAGTATTTAAAAAAAAAATAACACGGTTAATAATATAGTTTGAAAAGCTAGGTGCCACTTTTTAAAAAATATAATAAAGGGAATTTTATTAATTTTCTAACAAATTATTTTAAATTCTAAATTTTAAAATAAATAAATATTATTTTTTATGGTTGCGATTAAAATGATATTTATTTAAGATGATATTTTAAAAACAAATAAATACTAGTTTTAATTTGAAGTTGCTACAAAGATAATATTTATTGGAATATAAAAGGTATTTTGAATTTTGAATTTAAAAAATTAACGAACCCGAGATTCATTATTAATGGACATGGAACCAAGCATGTGAATAAAAAAATCGAATATAACTTATCTTCAATGAAACTGGCTGTTTGAAGTTGCGTTTTAAAGAATTTTTTTATTATAAAAAATATTAAAAATATATTTTTATATTAAAAAATATATCAAAATAACCTAAAAAGATATATAAAAAATACAATAAACCCTTCACATACTCTAAAAACAGTCCGCGTTGACTTGTCAAAGTAAGCTCTTCCCTATCCCCTTATATCTTCTTACTACTATTCCTATTTCTTAAGCGAACCCGCCCGCCATCCACTCAACTGGCATCGATTGGAACACCACCGGCTACAAAGCATAAACTCTTCTCTTTCCGATCTGGGTGTCTTAAACACAGTCCTTAATTTCCTAGCTTAATCATGTACTCATCAAACTCATCTTCTTATGACAAATTCTCCACTTCGCAGCCACCAGTCTTCAGTCAAGATACATCAACAACTGGGATTCCAGTTAGTTCAACAAGCCAGTTCTACAGTACTGATGATTCTAGATCTTCTATTGAACTCCGATCCAAGAGTAAGGGTCCCTGGTCAACTGGGTTATGTGAGTGCTTCGATGATTGGCGAAACTGTAAGTTCACTACCTTTCAAAAAATGCCTCTTTGGTGGCGCTTTATTCACACGCCCTGCATTTCCGAGCGTGGGCTTGTTAGTTGGTGTCTCCTTGTCTGAATTATTTATTGTCTTTTTTCTCATTCTTTTTATGGTGGTTTTACAGGTTGTATAACTTTTTGGTGCCCCTGCATCACTTTTGGACAAATTGCTGAAATTGTCGATAAGGGATCTTCATGTGAGTCGTGCTTTATAGTATTTCACATCAATTAATTAGTTTTTTTAGTGTTACTTTTAGTTTTATGATAGATGGTTTGTTTCATTGTCAATCAAGAAGTTGAGATTAGGAGAATTGAACCACTGAATTACTTAATCGATTTTAGAGAAATATTGCCAGTACTCAATCAATCCCATGTTTGTAGATAGTAATCAGCATGTTGATTAAGACGTAAACTCACTGATTATCTTGATTTATGTGTTGCATGCAGCCTGTGGGGTAAATGGAGCACTTTACGCACTGATTTCATGTGTCACTTGCTGTCCGTGCTGCTACTCGTGCTTCTATCGTGCAAAAATGAGGCAGCAATACTTGTTGAGGGAAACTCCCTGCGGGGACTGCTTGGTTCATTGCTGCTGTGAGTATTGTTCTTTGTGTCAGGAATATCGTGAGCTCAAAAGTCGTGGATATGACTTGGCCATGGGTAAGGATATAATTTTGCACAAGACTATTACACGCATGTGTTTTTTAGACCTTGTCTGAGTTTCTTAATTAACTATATGGTGTTTCTGCTTGCTTGATATTGTTTAGGATGGCATGGCAATGTGGAGAAGAAGAATCGCAGCGTAGAGATGGCTTCAGTGCCACCGACTGTTGAAGAAGGCATGAGCCGATAGGGAGCTTTTGTGTAAAACAGAGTGATGTATTAATTATTATTATTATTAGCTCACGTCGTTTCCATTGTGACTGCTTTGTTAATAATTCCTCGTCTGTGTTGTAGACTTGTGGTGGTATAAGAATTGTAGTATCGGATCCTCTATGATGATATTCATCTAAATCTCATTGTTAATCTTGAACTTAATGATTTAGATTAGATAAAGGAAATAAAACATAAAAAAGCTAAGATATTTTTATTTTTGTCATTTATTAAATCATATTCATATAATAGAAATTCAATGATTTACATTTAATGAATATGATAACAATAGGGAGATGAGGTCGTCTTCCAAGTCCAAGAAGACAACTATACCATACGGCATATTAATAGTCTTGTTTTGGCTGTATAATTAATACTATACCAATGTCATCAGTATTTTTATATCTTTATAAGACAGGTCCTTTTATTTTTCAAGGAAAACAAAAACAAAACTTTCCCGGTAATGTAATAAAACAAGTGCAACAACAAACAAAGCCCTCGGCCCCCAAGAAATTTTGGTTTCAAAACATGAGTTTCTTTCCCTGTAAAAAGCTCCTTTTCTTTGCCAAACAACTTGTTTAGGATAAATTATGGATAGCATTTGGGATTAAAGTAGGACAGGTATCAATTAAATTTATAACTGTGTTTAAAGAGATATGATTGTATCTGAAAAAACAAATGCAAAAGAGCTGGCAAGCTTGCAGACTTTTCACAACATCTAAAGCCAGGATGTCATTGGGGACATGAGATGAGATGAATTCGATGTATTTTTAAGTAGTTATTTTATCTATTAGATAATAAATAAAGTATAAATATTATTAAACTTGGTTCAAAACTGATTCAAACATGATGTATACAGATTTTAATATTAATATAAAATAGGTGTGTGTATATAAAATTAATAGTTTTGTTATTTAATATACACGCATGCTTCAAATGTTATATTAATTATTTTATTTTTATTGAATAATTAAATAATAAATATTTATATTTATATTAATATTAAATAAATTTTGACCTGATAAATAATAAATAAAAGGTAGCATGAGAATAAAACAGCTTACTAATGACTACTCAAGAGATGACTTTTAAAAAAAATTAAAATTATTTATTTATTTAAAATTAATATTTTTAGGTGTTTTTAGATCATTTTAGTGTTTTAATATAAAAAATAATTTTTTAAAAATAAAAAAATATTATTTTAATATATTTTTAAATAAAAAATATTTTAAAAAATAATTACACATGCATTTTTAAATACACTCGTATCCCTACGGATAACCATTTAGTTTGGCAATTTTGCGCACTTCTTTCATCTCCGGAAATATCTTCTTCTTTTCGATAAGTAGGGCCGGAAAAACCTTTAGACTTTAATGCTCCCGTCGCACGTACATTTGCTATCAGATTTTATTATTTATGAGGGCGTATTGAAATGGATCGATCCATCATTGTAGACCCCACAATTCCAAAATGCTCAAATTCCTCGTGGCTCCCAGGCCTTTTCAAAACCAGGCCTGAAGCCCGTGAGACAGGTTAGAGAGTTCCATGGGCCTAAAACAAGTATGTGCAAATAAAGCAACACCCTGGTTTTAAATGAACCCGTATGAACAGCAGAATCAATGCAACCAGTTAGAAAATAATGTTAAGCTACAGGTGCTTCCGTATACTCCCTCTTTCAAAAGATTTCAAATCCAAACCTTTTTTTAAAATGAAAAAATAATTACAAAGCCACGCAAAAACTGCGTTGCCCAGTGGAGATCTTTGCTTATAAATTCCGAAAATTAATCTTTTAAAAATAAACTCTAGTAGATTAACCAGAGCCAATTTTCCCAGGAAAAACTTTGTTTATATATATTTATGGACTTTTTTAATGGAATGGTGTGATGATAATTTTTCTATACTCACCAAAAATCCACGAACCGAAGACAGTTTTTAAAGATGACATATAACGGTATTTTTGTTTATTTACCTTCTAAAATTCAGTAAAATAATTTAAAACTTGTGTTGAGAGGCTTTTTAGTCTGGTTTTGTTGTTATTACCATGCATATAGACAAAAATATAGTATTTTAGTAAATATTAAATATTATTTAAGTAGAAAAGGCTTCTTATATGTGTCATTGTGTGTGAGGCACCTATGATATTTTGGACGGTTGGTGCAACACCATCTGATGGTCAAGATTCTCCCCTCAAAATTTACAAAAACAGTACAAATTTTCAATGATTTTTGAGGATTTCCACTTCAATCCTTTTTTTTTCATTTTTTATTATTGGTACTTTTGTAAAATTATAATTTGTTTTTAATTACATTATTCAATCTTAATTTGTGACATATTATTTTCTTTTTCAATTTGGTTCTTTTTTTTTACATTTTGTATTTTCCCTTTTAACTTTAGTATTTAAAATAAAAAATCCAAGGTTATCTTGATCGTTTTTTTTTAAAAAAAAAACTGATTTATCAGTTGCTGCTGCTTTTTTTATGGCATAATTAAAATAATTTCAGATAATTAGAGCCGATTGGAACTATAATCCAAATCGTTGATTTAAATAAAAAAAAAAAAACATGATTGCGACACCTTAAATATTATTTTGACAATAAAAAATGCAGACCTACGGCTTGACACCTTAAATATTATATACTTGATAAAAATTATAATTTAGTTTTATACATAACAAAAAAAATTTATAAAATATTTGATAGTTATATAGTCGTGGTTGTTTTTAAAAATAAAATACATTAAAATAATATATTTTTATTTTTTAAAAATTATTTTTAATATCAATGTATTAAAATATCTAAAAACACTAAAAAAATTAATTTGAAACAAAAAAATAAAAAATAATCAATTTTTTAAGCACTTTTAAAATATAAAAACAAGCAATATTTTACGAAACTTATATAAAAAACATGTAAAAACTGCTTTTTATGAAAACTATGTTATAAATTCAATTTTTTAGTTGACCATACAATATAAAAAGCAATTTTTATAGTTATTGAATATTTTACTGTTTTTTTAGACAGTAAATACAAAAATAATTGCAAAACAAATACAACCAAATTAACAATGAATACCTTTGTATGGAAATTAACATGAAGCTTAAAAAATAATGCATTTCATGCTAATCATGGTTTTTTCATAAATAAAAAATATTTAAATGTTTTTTATTTAAATTTTAAATATTCAGGAACTGTTTAAAAATTATAATTATAATTTATTTGCATAGAAAAAAAGAGACTATTTTAAATTTGATATTAAAGTCATAATGTATAAATTAGAAAAACTTGGAATCTATTTAGAATTATAGTAGGGGTGATAATTTAAAATATTTTTTGTTTATAAATATATTAAAATAATATTTTTTATTTTAAAAAATTATTTTTAATATTAATACATGAAAACGATATCAAGATATAAAAAATTATTTTAAATAAAAAAATTAAAATTTTTAAAACACGACTTATATCATAACTGTCTTGTCATGTTTAAGTGAAAATATCTCTGATATGCAACTGAACAATGTTTGTATTTATAGATATAGCATTAAAATAAAATTATCTCTCTTTGCAATTTAGAAATATTTTTTTTAATTGTGCATTTCTTTAATCTGATTTAAATTCTCCACAATCCTCTTTGCACCACAATCTATAATCGAATTCTAAGTAACACAGGGTTTTATAGGTCGCTCCAACCCTTTTGAAAGAGTATATCTACATTGCTCTAAAAATGTTTAAGATTATGATGTTGGTTGTTTTTTTAATTTTTTTTATTTAAAAATATATTAAAATAATATTTTTAAATTATTTTTTATATTAGTATATTAACACAATCAAAAACATAAAAAATTAATCTTTAAAAAATTATTATTAATTTTGTTTATAAAACACAGTTTAGATCACAATTTTAAACGGTGCCTGATATTTAATTTACACACTGACTTAGGTCCAACTCTAATATCATATATAAGGCTCCAAGCACGAGGGGATGTTCTTGGCATGCAATGAATACTCTCGAAGTCTATATATGTAATTTCGAGTTTGAGTTATTTGTCCTCACCATTTAAAATAAAATTTTAATTACATATAATTTCACAAATCATTTCTTTAATCCAATTCAAATTTTTCTGTAATTCTGCAAATGTAAAACATAGAGCATCACAATTATGTCTTGGGCTGCCTATTTAGAGGCATGGATTCTCAAGAAGTGATCTTCTTGAGCCTTGACTGGTCGTTAGGCCTGCTGATCCGGCTTCCCATATGCAATTCGCAGGAAGCTAGGGCGGGGAGGGAAAGTCCGGGGCAGACCAGACCCGTCAAGTTCGAGAAACTTTTGGAGCCTACGAGGACCCACACCTTTCATTGCAGGACTCTCATCTTATTACAAATCCCCGCAATTGCCGTTTGTAATGTATGTACTGTTTAAGGACTTTCTCTTCAGAGGCCCCATCTCTCTTCTTTGATCGAGGGGCATTGTTTTGTTGCCGAAGCTGGTGGTGCTGAGCGTCAAGGGAAGGGAAAGTTTCTGTGGGACTGGACTTACCTAGCTACAAGACTAATGATGACCGAGACTGGTCTAAATTAGTGAAGAGTCAACTCCTTCCTCACCTCGTGATAAAAGGAAAGCCTTCTGATATCGCCTAATTTCCCAGTGCCGTCATGTTGATTACCAAAAGGCAAATTCTAGAATGCTTGCATTGACTCTACAAATTCATTTTTTGCCACAACGTGCACACGGTTTTGGAGTAGTTTTATTTATTTTTATAAATATACAAGAACTTGATAAGAATAGTCATTTTTTCCAGAGAACAAATCTCACATATAATTAGTAAATAAACAAATAAAATACTAACATGTAAAATTAAGAATTGACCAGCTATCTCCAAAGATGCCACAAGTAGCCATGAATTTGGTTACAGTTGGGAACATCCGGTCCATACAAAAAGAGCCTAGTCAAAGACATGGTAAAAAACCCTACCAGTTTACGAGCAAAAAGCTGATCAATTTCAGTGTAGAAAGCCCTGATACTGTGAGAGCAAGAGGAAGTAAGCCCTGATATTGCAAAGAGCAAGAGGAAGTTCCCTAAGCCCCGCTTTAAATTTTGATTAGGATTTCTCGGAAAGGGAAAAGAAGGCACCGCAATGTTTCTAGATGTGCAAGAGTATGGCGTGGACTCTCGGTGTTAACTCGATTATTTGTACTCGCATTCAAGCTGGTAACTTGCGCTGGATGAGGTCTACAGTATCCTTAATTATTAATATGCTCTCATAAAGCAACTGAGCTGAGTGCCGATAGCTATAATAGAACTTGTCAAATCTTGCCTGGCTTTCTAAATCCTAAAAGTAACTCTATTTTCACTCAAAATAACTAGTGATTTGGGGAAAATCTCTTCACCATTCAAATCTCCCTTCTTTTTAAGAAAAGTGTGGGTGCAAACATTAAAATACACAAACGAATTTATCACCAAAAAATCATGTAGGTTGGGGCAAGACTTGCGTTTTTGATAATTAATTAATTTTTTGATTTTAATAATTTAACTTATTTTTCATAATTAAAGTGGTTGGTGGTTGGTAAACCAGGGTAACTGATAAATAATACTTATAAAAAATTTTATTTAATAAATTTAAAAATTCTTTTATGATTAATTTTTTTTCGAGAGAAAAGTCTATAATCATTTAGAAAGAGACTTCAAAAATAAATATACAATACATAATGAAATTAAAAACATGAAGTTCAAAGGATCTCTTTTCTATTTAGAGACCATGAGTCTTATCATTTTATATAGATAAAAAATTAAAATATAATTTTTTAATGATAGTTTTACTATGGTTTATATATTAAAAAAAATATTTAACCCATTTAAAACTCATAATTCAACATAAAATGTAATAAGATTTTCAAAGTCACGTGTGTATAGATTCAATGCTTAACTAAATTTGAAAATGCTGGGTATTAACAGCTCGTTGGACCTGTATGTAACTAGTTTTAGTACTAAGTTGTATCCAAGATCTCTGAATTTAATAACTTATTAAATTTATATATACTTGAACATAGTAATTGATTGAACCTAAAAATATTAAATTATTATTTTTATTCTGATTTCTTTAAAAATAAAATCTATATAAAATAAAACATGCTATTATTCAAAAAGATTTTATTATATGTAGATCAAAATTTAAAATATCTTAACAAATAAAGCTAATATAAGATAAACATACCACGTCTTCAAAGATATTTAAATCCTATGAACCTCGAAGTAGAGTATACATATGTTTCACGAGTGCATCTCTATGTCTTTAGTGTAATATAACAATCAGGTCTGATCTTCGGCTACTCCAAACAACTGAACACATATTTGTGCGTAGGTGGGCTAAAAACTTTCCGTTGATCAAGAGTAAAAAATATATCGTACGGCGACTACAAAACTAGCTTTGTCCCCACTACGCCTAACCCAACAACGACCTGACCTGACCTCTCTCTCCTTCCTTTTAGTGAGTGTTTGGGATTCTTCTAACATTTCCTCCTTTGATACTTTCGTCTTTTCCCCCGCCTTCTCAGTCTTTTTCTCAAACACTTTGTATGCACTGACAGTAACTGCTGATTCATTTAGGCAGTTTTATGATCAATTTTTTGTTTAAGTGATGAGAGAATAAGCAAGAAATAAAAAATCAAGCAAAGTGAAATGGAGGGAGCAGAGCTGGAACTTGAGCGAAGGAGCAAGTTCTTGAGTAGTTTAATAGAGAAAAAGAAAGCCAAAGAGCATCAAGAGCAACACAGCAAGCTCAATGTTCGTGTCAGAGCTGCTGATATGTCCGTTCTTTTGCAAGACCGAGCTTTTAGGTGTGCTCGTGACCAGCTTGACTCCATGCCTGGAAAGCTTGATAGCAAACGCCTCGCTCTTGCCCTGAAAAAGGTTAGAAATTAAACAAGTTCCTTGCTTTTCCGGGTTTCGATCTTTGTTTACTCTTCAACCTTTAAAGGTTCTGGTGATTATAAATTATTTATTCTTTCGTTATTCGAGGGTTTATAGTAATGGGTATCGAGTAAATGTTGCATAGAGGCAATCCTGTTGACTGTTCAGGCTTTAAGCTGAACTTCAAATGTGCTTAAGTATGAACCTAAGTCGGCTTGTTGGTTTTTTCATGGGCGCGTTTAGTGTAGCTTAATGGCCACTGAGTAAATTTTGAGTATAGGTGGTCCTATTGAATGTGCCATTGCTTAAAGTGAAAAATGGTTGGGTCCTTTTTATGCTGCTGGGTTCTAATCTTTAATTTGGGTATGGTTTACTCTGATTATTAAAATCGGAACCCCTTATGTGAAGAGGAAAGTGTTTGGCACGTGGTCCCATCTTGCAGCCGTGTTAGATTTTTTCTGCTTCCATTATGAAACAGCCAAACTGAGGATAATGGTTTGAATCTTGTCAGTAGTGTGTGTATAGAAACTGCAAGTACAGGTGGCCCTATTGATCATTTGTGTTGTTAATTCTTAATATAAAATTCACTGGCTTTATTTTTATTCTTGATCGCGAAGTTGGTCTGAACCCATTATTTTTTACCAACTATTTGCTTGATTCTACTGAAAGTATGAATTCCTTAGATTCCAAAGAAATTGAAGTTGTGCAACCATATGTATTGAGTTAATCTTTATAATATTTAGTTATTTACTCAGTCTAATCGAGCCAAAAAGGTAACACCTGTCTCGTAACAAATTAGAATAACCAAATAAATAATACATTGCTGGTTCAATTATTTTCTTGCTTTAGATTTTCTTTTGCTTGATTGCCAGTCTGATTAGCTTCTCTGAATCACTAATTGCATGTGTTCAGAGGGAAGGGAATTGCGTGAATCTGAATATGGGTTTTCCATCAACTTACCCGCCGTAATTTAGTTCTGTTGGAGGACAAATTTGACTTTTCTCTCTTAATTGAGGGTGGAGTTGAGAGTCTTGATACTTTGGATTACCGATACATGATACATAATTTTAGTCAAATTATAACTATATGCAAATTTTGTTGCAGAATTATTTCATTAAATGTACGAGAAAAAATAGAAATACCTGGATGGTTTTCATACAGGTCGTGTTTAGAATAGTAAAAGGGATCCAACCTGCTGATAACCTGGCACCTTTATGATCCCAGGAAACCTGAGAAAACTAGCAACTGGATTGCTTGCTGTTTAGACGTTCTATATATAGGGTATCTAAATCCTATTAAACTGCTAAAGAGTTCTTAGAATTTGTACATATTAAGAGAGCAAAGCATTCTCACAACTCAGTGTTCAGCAGAATTCTTGGATATGAAATAGGGGCTACCCATGAGGGCAGGTCCAAGTCCAATATCACTTAAGAAAGGAGTTACAACTCCCTTATGAACTGTCTAGAAGCAGTTTTAGGTCAGTTTTTGAAAAGGAAAAAGTAATATAGAAAAAATACGCTTGTTATTTCTCTGTCAAGGTTCTCTAAATTGTGGATGGCACTTGAATTGTGGAAATTGCGTGTTCTTTCCTCTATGATTGCGTGCTAAGCCTTTAAGCAAGTAAAATAACAATGATCTTGGAACTTCTGCAAACTCCACTGCTCGGAGTAGATGTAACCTAGATTTGTTTTATTGCTTCATTGGTAACAGAGCTATCTATGGTTATTACAAGAAGAAACAAGAGAAAAGAGATGAATGCACTGTCATGGTAGCAAAATAGAAGGTGTAAATGTTGAAATATAAGGCATATTGACTCCTCAGGCCTAAGCTTGTTTTTTTTTTTTCCTGTTCTTATCCGGGTATCCTTGCATCCTTTTTTAAAGAGTGAGACTAGTACTGTTCGGAGTTCTTGGCTGTCCCTTCAAATAAGTACGCTTCCTGAGGATCAAACTTGTGTTCTCATCTTTGTAGGGATATAGCATTAACTGCTACACCAACACTTCATTGGTACTATCAATTGCATAGGTCTCTTGCAGTTGATGTTAGCCTAGGCAGCTCTTGCAAGCCAGATGTTCTCCTGTTCAAACTAGAACTTTGTCACTTGCATTTCTCGGGGATATAGTAACTTATACCTGCTCATTTGTTTCCAGATTTCTGACACTTAAGCATTACACCAAAGCATCCAGCAGTGAATTTTGCTAGATTTACTTCTTTCTCAGTCTCTTTAATTTTCCTTTTACCTCTACCAGAACACCTGCTTGTATGCAATCATTATCCACATCAAACATGGAAATTACCTATTAGATTTCTTTTAAGAAGCAAACTTTTGTATGATAAACGAAAAGAAAATTGGAAGCTGGAAAATGGAAAATGGGGAGAGAAAGAAACAGCTATTTATAAGTTGGAATGTGAGAACACAAGAAAAGAAAAATTGGCAGATTCCATCATCTTTGAAATATGGTAATGTTTCCTGTTTGATGCCAGCCTCAATGATTCTCGATAACCTTTTACACATGGAAATGTTATTTCTATCTATCTTGCATCAATTTATTTTGACAAGTCAAGCAGTTAATAGACCTGGATAAAATAAGCCAAAGATCAAGTTTCTAGACTAATCATTGCTAGTGGAACATAGCTATTGCACACGTGTGCGCATGTTACTCGGATTGAATTTTCTAGAGATGCCAGGGGAGCTGGGAGGGAAAAAATGACACCTGGCAAACTTCAACTTGGAAGAGCGAATTGGCCCATACCACAGGTGGTTTTTTATAATTTCCCTTTGGATTATTTTGGCACACTGCTTTTAAAGAAGGCCTTTGATGTTTAAATACAAGAAAACATAGATAGGCGAATGTCCGCTGTCCTCTGTCCTTTCGTTACCTAAGAGATAATGATGATAATTTAAGATTGAATTTATGGAAATTGCTCTAGGAAGTGCCGTTTAACAATAACGATCTAACAGATCACAGTTTTTACTGGTTTGCCAGGAATTTGATGCTGCATATGGTCCAGCTTGGCACTGCATTGTTGGAACTAGCTTTGGTTCATATGTTACTCATTCCACAGGAGGCTTCTTGTATTTTTCGATTGACAAGTTTTACATCCTTCTCTTTAGGACTGCTGTCGAACCTTTAGACCGTTGACAGTTTACAAATTTTGAGTTTCAAGCTTTTCTATGTTGTTATTGATATCGTACCTTTGATTTGCCAGTTTGTGTAAAATTACCGGCTAAGATTATAGTTTCTGTTATTTTTCCAGCTGTATAACACTCCTCATCATAAGAGCACAAGAGATTGGTATTTGGTCCTCTTTTACTATTTTTTTTGCTGCATTATGTTCTCTCCATTACAAATTAATTAAACCAGGCAGAAAGCATTGTATCTTCGGTCCAGTATATTTGTCAAGGATTCTCATTTCTCATGCTTTAGATATTTATTATGAGTTAATACATTTAACTTCTACATGTTATCTGGCAACACAAAACGATGATATTTTTGGACAGCGGATCCTCTCACTAGCAATTTCACTTGCAAAAAATCACAAGTACAGATGAACGCCTTTAAGATACGAAATTCCTGGGAAGTCAACTAGCCTATCCTTTATTTTGATTACGGAAACTACCAAATTATAGCTATTGGCTCGTATGAAATTGCCACGGATCTGTGCAAATGTTGTCTTTGTTATGCTTGCATAGGTGGACCTACGATAATTTGGATTCTTGCGGTCATTTGCTTAGCAAGCAAGAAATGAACAGATTTTGACAGAGTCAAATGACTGGAAGTTGCAATTACAATTGTGCGGTTCGCATTGCTTTACGTATGTGTAATGTTACTCTGTTCCAAAACTCTTCTCTCTTTATTTTTCTTGTCTGGCTGTGTCATCGTTTTACACCTCTTTCCTTGAACTCTCTCCCTTTATAAATTATCTTTTGAACTCAAATCACAATATTTGAGCTTGATTGGGGACATGGGGATTTTACATTATGTAGAGAACAAAATGCATGAAAGTAAAGAATACTTTATGCAGCCTCTGCAAATTCTGTCCACTTTTTTTTCTCATCTTGGTTCCAAAAATAGAAATACAAGCCGAGAGGTGGAACCAGGGCCACCTCATGAGGCTCTATTTTTTGTCCTGGCTTACCTCGACGTATTGGACCTTCTTGTCATGAGTGAAGTTTGCATGCCACTCAGAGATGCAGTGAGCAAAGATGTATTACCATGGCGGAATATCATCATTGAAAGGCCTTTGAACTCGAGATTGTCTGATGAGATTCTGGTGCAAATCACTTCGAAGGCACATGGCAGACTCAGAACTTTGGCTCTCATAAACTGTTTCAAGATCACAGATGATGGCCTTCAAACTGTCATTGAGAAAAATCATTTAATCAGTAAGGTATGATTACCAGGATGGACCTTCTTTTGTTTTTTATATCCCTTTTTTTTTAATGATGATTAAATTGATTTTCTTCCACTGCCGTTCTCTTTCGCTTTGCTATTTTAGCCACAGAGAGAGAGAGAGAGTTTCGATGCTTGCCACCGTTTTTCTAACAACTAATTATCTAGGTTAAGGTGGGCATGGATAAGATATGTTTGGAGGGGATTGCATTTTCATTTAAAGCAAAAGATACCTAATTTTATCAAAATAATAAGTGGACGATATTGACTTGAAACAGTTCAAGGATAGTGAGTGGCTTCCTGAGGTAAAAAAAGAACTTAAGTAATTCAATTGAATTGTATATTTTTGGTCGATGGAATAAGTAGATTGAGTGACTTGCTGTGAACCAAGTTGAAATCCCATGAAATATTTCTGCTTGTACTTTTATTTTTTTCAATTGAAATAGCTTCAATTGATAAATTTACTGCAGTTGCGAAAACTCGTTGAAAAATAAGAAGATATTGCGAATGACTAGCTGTCTTTAGATACAGAAACAAAGTGTATCATGAATGTTCAAGGCCCAACACCAGTACTTTTTTTTTTTTTTGAATTTGAGGAAATTTTATTTTTTTTAAAATATATTTTATGAGTACAGTGAGCAAATAAAATCTTGATTATTTTAAATTTTTATAAAAAATATATATTTTAATTCAAATTTAAAATTTACTATATAGATTTCAAATCTTTTACCCATGTTACGCTACTTGAGGACCCAACACCAGTACTCGTGCAACAAATATATGTAAATCACCAAAGTAGTAAAGCACTAACCCAATGGTTAGACCGCTTGCTCTTATGAATGTACTAGTTTGACTTGGGAGGTGGCGCGTCTTTAAAATGATCGGAGAAATAACTTAGTCTCAACAGACACTAAAGCTGGTTCAAGAATATCCATAATTTTGAATAAAAAGGAAGGAAGCACTTTTTTTTGTGGAACAGAAAGCATTCAGGTAAATCCTCATTATTATTATTTTTCTTGTCTTCTGGCTCAGCTCCACGTACCCGGATGCTCTGGCTTAACCCCTGAGGGAATCATAAGAACTGTGAAGACACTATCCCAACATCACAACAGCTTAGAGAGTTTACAGATAAACGGTATCCACGACCTAAAGAAAGAACACCTGGAAACAATTTCATCTCATCTTCAAATCAACCCACCGCAGCAAAAGCCACGGCCTATCCTGTATCATCACCATAGCAGTTCCTTAACATCAAGAAACGAAGAAAGTAGCCGCATGATTGATGTGGATATCTGTCCAAAGTGCAATGAAGTAAGAACAGTTTTCGACTGCCCGAGGGCGACCAGCAAGAGTGGGAGAGAGGAGTCATTCACCCATTGTAGAGGATGCTACTTTTGCATTAGTAGGTGTGAAGAGTGCGGACAATGTGTGGATGATGAAGAACTGGAAGAGACTCTTTGTTTTGGTATTTTGTGTACAGATTGTTGGCTTCTTCTTCCAAAATGTTGTTTCTGCAATCAGGCATACTGTAAGCAACATGAGAATCAGCAGCGCAGTCTTCCAGACAGTACTGGGTTTCTATGTGACCTTTGTAACGAGAAACTCGAAATTTATGGGGATTAGAGTAGTGATATTCAATAATATGTTGAGATAGAAATCTTCAAACTTATGGCAGCTTTCTCTACATTATATTTCATATACATGAATCCATACAGTAGGTTATCGAAATGATAGTTTTGATGTGACTCTCAGCTTCTCGTTTCAGGTTTTTATAAATAATGAATCTTATATCCTACTTTTTATAAATAATGAATCTTATATCCTACTTTTTATAAATAATGAATCTTATATCCTACTTGGCAACCCTTTATACCAGTCATTGCCAAAGTTTGAACGAGGTGAAAGCACGTAAGAGCGGGGCTAAAAAGTGCGTTTAACTCATGAACTTTAAAGCTTTTATACAAGGTTCGTCAACTTTAAATCCTTGATTTTGGTCTCCCAACTATTATTTTTTAACAAAAAATTTTCATGCAACTCACCATTTACCCTAAACTAAAATTGACAGTGGATTTTGACTCGCATGTTTCTCAAAAAAGAAACAAAAATTATAGATATATTGAAAAAAAAATTGAGAAAAACAAACAAACAAATGGAAGGATTCTTAAGAGGGAACAAAAAACAATTGATGGGAACAAAAAATTGAAATAAATAATCTATTTTCATAAAGAAAAACTTGATAAGCGATCCTCGGAATGTCACGCATGAGTCGCAGTTTTGACCAAAAGGCCTACAAGAATTGTGCAGCAAAACCATTTGACTTTGCACTACTGGGAACGACGTTTGACCTGAAAATCACCACGCTACCTATCAGAAATTGAACACATCACAAATCCAGTTCAAAGAATACATATTCTGCCCTAAAAAGATACAACTTTACAATAATCATCCAGAGTTCTTCTTGCTGGTCTATAAAAAAAATCCAAATTCACCAACTCATGTTTAAAAAACTACTCCGTGGCTATATGACCAATCAACCTCGCCACCCCCTTAAATCCTCTCCAGGAAAACCAAAATCGACTCCTCTCCAGGAAAACCAAAATTGGGCGTGCCGCAAGTTGTCTGATGGCATAAAAAAACAAATGTTTTGAATGATTCCATTGCTATCCAAGGGTTACAACTGATACAAATGCACAAAGTTTTACAAGCAAACCACGCTCATTAGTAAAACACCTATAATCACAGAGGTTGTGACAGAACCAGCACCATAGAAATATATGGAATGGCAACCAGATGTCGATGAATTTGAAGACGGCGCCAGAGAAGTTGTATTTGGGAAGGTGCCATTTCTTCCAGCACTACATTAACATAAAAAAGCAGAGTAAAGAAATGTCAGCAAACTACTCTTGGCAATCTGACGTATCCAAAACAAGAGTTGTGAAATGCAGTGCAAAGAGAATTAGACAGACGAGTGGAAAATAGCAACAAGAAACAAAAATCAGGCCTTTAAATCAATTGTACAAGCTTTAGTTTATACCTTCCAGGAAATATACAGGAATCATGACCTGCAGAAGTAAAAGAAAATAAGAAACTCCATATGCAATAAGAAAACAACAAGGGAATAGACAAGCAACAAAAACCTTTCTCACTTGTACAAGCATCTCTAGCAAACAAAGAAAAACCCAATCTAGCAGTTTCGAGAATTAAACACCCTAAATCATTAACAGGCATGACCAATTATTTTTGCAGTGGAGTAGCTTTTATGCAAGACGAACACTTACTGCAAAGTTAGTATACCCATTACCCAATTAATGCTCACCAAGTAACTCATATCCCCACTGTAATATAGTTGGTTGTTTTCTTCTCAAATCCTATTTTGCTGGAACTATAATTGCTTACTTGGGTCACTGGTGGTGATGGTGGCTGCCCCTTTAAAATCACAAGTGCCAGGAGACTTGGCCATTTTCTGGAAATAAGCATTGAAAGCATATGTTGAATGAGCAACAACATTATCTGGCTCATAGCATGGCTGCCCTTGTAACAAGAACGAGCAATCAACTTTCCCAGGTCCACAAGCCCAATCAAGAGCTGCCTGTAGCATCTTTGGGTCAGCACCTTCCTTTGCAACACAAAAGGTTTGGTTTGTGGTGTCATTTGCAAGTAAAGTACCAGCACCAGTCAAGTGTAAGGTATAAACTGGCATGCCGCTGGCATCAAAAAGCCCCCAGTTCTTTTCAGAGACTGGCCCGGGTCTCAGATCCTCATTATAGAGCTCATAAATATATGTACTAACCACAATCCTAGGATGTTTGGGAGTGCCTGTGTTATTAAGCACATGCCTAATCAAGTTGCTGTTGTAAGTGTTAGCATTGTCAAGTGTAGCATCTGGCTCAGATGAGTCACCTTTGGATGGCCAGCCAGACTCAGTCACAAAAATAGGGATTTTGGTGAAGTTCAGATAGGACATTGAAAAATATGCTGCATCAACAATGGCATCAAAGACGTTAGTGTAATGAAGGAGTGTATTAGCATCCACAGCTTCCTTGTTAGGAGGGAGGGGACGGAAAAGCGCATAGTCCAACGGGATCACACCATTTGATTGCATGTAATCGTAGTATGGATATACATTTAGCATAAAGTATGACCCAGTGGACTGCAAAAATTTAAGCAAGGGAACCATGACTGGATCCCAAGAGCGATTAAAGAAGGCTTGGGAAGGAGGGAAAGAGTCAAGGATGATAGAAGAAGACTGAGGGGTAGAGACTTTAATTTGGCCATCAAGATTGGAGGCAACAAGGGCAGAATGGATAAACTTCAAGGCAGAGACCAGGACAGGGGCAGCATTTGGGAGCGTAGTAAGGATTTCAGATCCAACTGCAATGGCTGTGATGTTGGTGGCAGGGACATGGGCTATTACATTGCGAGCAACCCAGTTGGCTGCAGTGGCATTCGATTGACCAATGCCAAGAAGCTGCTCATTGGGAACTGAAACAGTTACACGGATGCCTGTGTTGGCAAGTGCACGGAGCATGGCTCGGTCTGCATCATAAAGCCTGACATGTCGAATGTTTTGAGCCTTAAGAAGGGCTACCACCTGAGTTGGACTTGGCATGTCAGAGACTGCTGTGCCAATATTCACACCAATGAAGGCATCTGGTAAACAAGAGAGAGAAAAAAGTTTCAACAGTAGGATTTAGACAAGCAAATTGTCTTTGTTGATAGAAAAGATTTCATCTTCATCAAACCACTAAAAGTTTCAGTAACTATATTATGAAATATGAACACGGACATTGCAAAACTATGTTCAGAAAGACTATCAATCCTTGGCCAGAGAAAATCTGAAACAAACAAGGGAAGAACTCATTTTGACATTCAAGAGATAATAGTCAGGCATTGAAAATAGCTTCTATACACTCAGACACAGTGTGGAAACTGTAGCTCATTTGGCACCAGTCAGGTAGATATCCATGATCATCAACGCATTGTGTGCCTTATTTATGACCCATACACAACGCATTCAGAATACAAGTATTAACAGTAGACATGGTTGCTTAATAATGGAGGCAAAATCTAAAAGTAAACTAAAAGGAAATATAAATGCAGAATTAACTCCTTTCTACAGCGACAGCATCTAGTAATTTAACCATACCAATTCCTAAAAATGGGATCAAATTAGTCCCACTAATCCCAATCCAGTTTGGAATCACCATAATAAAAACCAACACTTTCCTTATTGAGCAAAACTTAAGATAGCACCACCAAATAATGGGGGCCCACACGTACCTCTCATGCTGAATCATGTACATGACTGTTAAATTGCAGATTGTATTTATCTACTTTGTACATCTATACATAGTATCCATTGATTATCTAAATGAAAAGGCATTGTAAATATAAACATCATTATTTGTCTTCTTTTCAGAGCTCCCTCAGACTTAAAAGCATTATGAAGGGTAAACTATATATTTACCCTTTTGGATTCATTAATATTTCTACTTCTACCTCCATACTTTAAAGTTTCCTGATAAACGTTTGCTTTTTTTCATACTTTGTATCGTCTTTTATTATTTTTCCCATTATAACTCCCATGCATATTAAGCATCTAGAAAAAAGTTCCAAAAAATCTCAAAAATCAAATTCAGAAGTAGGCTATTTAATGGTTAATGGTAACATAGCAACTTTTCACTTTTCAGGAACTATAAGGGTAAGGTTGAAAAAAATTTAAACCATAGGAATAGAAGTGGAACATTGATAAATCCATAAGGCAAAAGTGAACTTTGCGTACCAGGAAACCATTTATGGAATTACAGCTTTATCCTTTCCATTGTAAAGAGAGATTGTTGACTCTGTCTAGAATGCATCATGCCATTGTTAACCTGAAAACAGACACTTCTACTACTTCTTCTAAGCTTAGGTAAAATATTTAAGATTCTATATATTATTCTAGAACTTAGAGAGGTTAATGAATTATAATCAACAAAACATTTGTTTATTGAGTAACACATTATTTGAGTTCCTTTATTAAAAAAAATGTTATTTGAGGTGGGTTACACTATGTAGTGAGTCATTGGACATTTGATGTGCATTCACCATGTACATGTAGGGGTGACAATTTAACACGAACCTGGTGGAAATGACCCTGAATGGATGGAATTTTTTATAGTTGCCTTACCCAATAGGTAATGAATAAAATATGAATAAGAATATTCACAAATGTGATCCAAACTCAACTCAACATAAATATAGCCCACCATTAACATAACACACAAACACATGTATAAGATTTATAATATCGCCATTTAATATATATGTATACATATCTCAAATATATATTACTCTTTTATTTTATGTTGAATAATAAATAGCATTTAAATAGTGATTACTCGAATAAATACCTGAAATTCAATGGATAGAGTATGAATATCTAAATTTTTTATCCAATGGTTAATGGATAAGATATGGATATAGTAGAAACCCGACTCATGGATACCCATTACCATCTTTACAAGGTCATTTTGAGCTTGCTGCATGAAGAGATGCAGGTTCTGCTTTAAAACTATAAATAATATAAAATAGCAAATGGTGTCTAGTAAATAAATGACACATCACATAATTTATGTAACACTGCCCTCGTAACTTTGATCATGATTAAGCCTTGCACTTAGTAGACCATCATCAACTTCAAAATTTTCCCAAATATCAAATCTCTAGACATTGAAGGGGAATGAGGATGACTTCTACAATATCCTGACATTCAGATCTACAATCAGGATGACTTCTATAACAAAAAAAGAGCTCTGGGCAGGAATAAAACAGCTAGGGAGGTGATTGCTTTTGCATACTATATACATCCACTGCCCACTGGGGGTGTACAATGCTGTAGTGGAATACATGTCTGCAACAGGTTGTGGTGCTAGTAGCAAAATAATAACAATATCCTTGGAAAGAGATTTCTAGGATTCCAACTCATCCAACACAAGATGCTTTTGCATCCTCATGCTAAGGGTTTTTTGGTCCTACAGCGTATTTAGTAGAAACACAGAATATGCTAGTTAAAGGACTGCCGCTGGGAAGCAACATGGTAGAGATGCCCCCATTAAAAGAGAGGTTTGAGATGAGATCAGAGGTTTTCAACTAAGGTAAAGATTTTTATGCAGAGGCTTCTACTTTGATAGCAACAAATGAAAATCAAATGGAATGAATATCTTTCAACATAAATGCCATCCTTTTCTTATACAGGTTTCAAGAAACAGACCTGCAATGAAGTAGAAGGAAATTTATTGACTAATTAGTACACTAACCTGCAAATTCAACCAAATAGCACCTATTTTATTGCAAACTTAAATTATAGTACAAATAATCCTATCTTCCTGTTCAGACTAATCACTGAAAACCAAGCTGGTGTCACATAGTAATAGTGATAATACTAATAAAAATAATAATAATAAGAAGAAGAATACTATTTCAAACGAAAAAACTTCAACTATTAAGTAGAGATAACTGAAAAACAGCAAAAATTAAAAAAAAAAAAAAAAGATACCCAGCAAAGGCACACGAAAACTTAACTGGAGAACTACAAGAAAGAACTTGAAAAGAAAGGGGAATCGAGGTAAACAGAGAAAGAAAGAAAAAAGGCAAACAGGTAGAATAGAATGGCAACTAATGCCTCCAAATCATTGTTTCAAGAATAAAAATGAATTAAAATAAGCTACCTAAGAGGACTGAGCTGCAGCGAATAATAAAGATAAAGAGGATGAAACCAGAATAAACCAAGCAGATTAGAGAATCAATACAAGAAAAAGCAATAAAACCATGAAAGCACAAAGAAAGAAGCTTACCATCATCAGCAGAAACAACAGGCACCGTCAAAAAGAAAAGCAGGAGCAGCAGAGCCATTGAATCTTCCGTCACAAATTAAATGTTCTATACCTTGAAAAAACCACAAAAACCCAGAAAGGAAATGTATTAGGGGACCAATCCGAAAGACACTAGAAGAAAACAAAAAAGAGCCCGCAGAGACAAGGTAGAGAGAGAAAAGTTTGCTCCTTTTGAGGTCTCTCTCTATCGTGGGAAATGTTTTTGAACAAAACGAAGATGTGCTTCGTTTAGTTTAGTTTAATTTAGTTTAATTTAGTTGTGCACTAAAGAGACAGAGCGTGTGGGCAGGGTTTGTTTACTCCGGCATTTCCTTCAATGCCTTTTGATTTGACCTCCTCGAGTGGTTTCTTTCTTTTCATAACCATTTCTATTTTCTAGAATAGCTTAATTATTATAACTTCAAATGTAGTCGTGGTGTTCTACAAGTATGGTTATATATATATATATATATATATATATATATATATATATATATATATGCGCATTCTTTCCATCAATTTGATGCATTTGATAAGAGATAAATTTTCTTAAATATCATTTTAAAATTCGAATTAAAAAATCAATTAAGAGATTGAACTTCCTTTACCACTGGAAAAACTAAAAGCACTAGTCTACAAACAACATGTTTATTCGTACTGGTATTGATTACTTAAGTGTCGGATACTGGATGGCTGAGATTGAGCGAAGGTACATGTTAAACTGTGAGGATAGCAACTTTGCTTCAAATTGTATGGAGAGAGGTGTGGCTGCAGGCTTTTAATGGCATTGGAGAGGGGCTTCACTTCACGGTCTACGAGGAGAGTTCCGGTGCTGACGTGGAGATGAGCTGGATTCGATCAACGGTCATATTCCAAGTAGAAAGTGCACCCTTGTCTTTATTGCTAGAGTTATGCCGTGGTCGGGTTTTTTTTAGAAGAAATAAATATACAAGTTTTTTCAATATTTTTTTATATATAAAATTTTCAATCACAAATATAAATAACTATATATATGTATATATATTTAATTAAATAAATTAATATCTGATAAAAAATAAGCAACACTGGTCATGCACTCATTTATATCTAGTATCCTTGTTTTTTACAATATTTTTTTTTTCAATAAAGCAATTACTCATACTAATAAAAGATAAAAAAATATTATTAAAAAAATACATTAAATTAAATAATAAAATGCAACTATCAAATAATTTATTATTGAAAAATATAACTAGAAAAATAAAAAATAAAAAATAAAAAAATATGGATTAACTCGTTAACATTATGACCATGAGCACATGGTTAGGATAAACTCGTAAAGAGTTAAGTGGAAAGAAAATCATAAAGATTAATTTCTAAAAAAAATATATTAAATATTAAAATTAAAAAAAAACAATGAAACAAGATTCATAATAAAAAGAGGGGTTAACCTTCAAAACCGGTTATAGGTTGCATGGAAGATAAACCCAAAAATCAATAAAGCAAGATTCTCAATTAAAAAAAAAGAAAAGCTTAGTGATGAAACAATGAAAAAAAAAGCAAATAAAAAAATCAAGTCAATCTAGGATTGGAATAATCCCGTGTAAAGAAAAATAAAGAAAAAACATGAAAACCAATTAAAAATAAACAAATTTAAAGGATAAAATTAAAAATAAATTATTTTTATAAAAAAGACCTAAAAATAAAAGTTAATACATATTACCCTTCAAAACTCGTAATCTTATTCATGATGGTAGAATTAACCCTGTAAAAAAAATTATCAAAAGAATTGGGACTAAGTTTGATATTAAAATTAAATCAAACAAAACAAAAAAAATAATTATAAAAAGATAAAAAAACATATAAAAAATAAAAACTAAAAATTAAACTAAATATACAAAATAAATAATAGGAGACCTTACATTTTATCAAATGCAAGAGAAAGAAAAAATATATATAAAAATAATTAATTAAAATTTAACCAGAACTCCACCACATATACAAGTCACATCATACATAAAGATTATTGATGTGCTTCCAACACCATCTTTAAAGGTGGTGTTTAGATATCGTCGCATGTACTATCCAGATAACATGGGGTGTCATGCACTTGTTATGCGTGTTTGGTATATATTAATATTTTTTTTAATTAATCTTTGAATAAATATAAAAAAATGAAATTTGAATAAAGCTCTTTACCAACTGAATATTAAAAAAAATTATGGAAATAACAAAACACTCATGCCAATTGGTGAATAGGACATAATTTTTTGGTGAATAAGACATAATTTTTTAGGGTAATCTAGTTAATTTATTGTGCAAAAAAAAGAAGATAAAAACACTCTTTAAAACAACCTTTATTTATTTTTTATTCAAATAACAATTAAGTTATTTCAATACACATAATATTCGTAAAAAGACAAATACACATCTCATTAATGCTGTGATAACAATGAACCTCCTGTGAGATGACATAAATACTCCCGACAGCCAGGTACTCAGTTTATTCTAGCTAGAATGGGGAAAACATGATGGACCATCCATGGTGTTTTCCCCTGTTGTGTTAGTTGTACTTACTAGTTGCATAATTTGTGTCTTGCCGTGGGGTATATATTCTTTTTTCAACAAATAAATTTATATATATATATGCTTTTTTAATACATTTTTTTAAATAAAAAAATTTATATATATATATATATGCTTTTTTAATATATTTTTTTAAATAAAAAAATTTATATATATCTTTCATTGTTTGACCTATTTTTTTAGCATGCACTCTTGAACTTTTTTTTTTTTTACATTAAAGATGAATAACATGTCATCTACTCAAATATATATATATATATATATCAAATAATATGTAGTTTAATTTTACTTTAATTTTGGCCACTACAATAATAGAAAAAATCATTTATTAAGGTTATTTTATCTAAAAATATATTTTTCAACTCGCCTCCATCAAAAACACTTAAAGAACACCATAAAAACCATAATAAACATATGCATTACCTAAAAAATCCAAAAATCCCTCTTAAAAAATGAAATTAATCAAAAAACAAAAAAAAAATCGATCTCATATCTATTTTTTTATGAACTTTAAGAGTAAAAAACACATAATATGAATTCCCCTCATCAAATATAACCATTTGACATGAATAATCAACTATTTTGGTAATAGAAATCAATGTTAAAAATATTTTTCTCTCTATATCACTAAAATCCAGCTACCTCTCTATCAAATCAAAAAATAAAAAATAACAAAAATGAACTTTTATGTATAATATGAATTGAAAAAATATTAAGGTATCAAATACATATAATTTTTAAAATACGAGGATTAAAGTAAACTCATTATGTGAACTTTGAAGCCATCACCCATTATGATGCTTTTTTTAATATTATTATTTATTTATTTATTTTATTTTTAATTAACATGATTTAATTGTTCTTGAATTTGGTTAAAAGGATGCAATTACTTAAAAAATTTAAGAATTAAATTAAAAATATAAAAATTATAAATAATAAGTTCACGGTAAATTGTAAAAGGATGCACAATATCAACTTAATAGTGCTCTTTCCACGCTTTTTATTTTTTTTAACTTAATTG